TCTCTCTCTCTCTCTCCCCCCCCTCCCCCCCCCCCCCAAACACCCTTTTCTTACCTTTTTCCTGGCTTCAAATAGGATTAGCGAATCCAAATCGCATTAGCGAATCCAAATCCCTGCCTCTTTCTCTTTCCACTCTTCTGTTCATCGGTACTCGTCGATGGATCCCTTCGTCTCTATCATGTCCCACCCTGATGCGTTTTCTTTCTTTATCCTGTTGTTTTACCGCAGCAACTTCTCTTTCTCATGGTATGGTATGGTATGGTCTGCTGGGTTTTGTAGCAGCTTTAGGAGGTGAGGCAGGGATAGACGAGCGCTACAGGGAAACAGGGGACTGTGGCAGAATCGTTGTTGCTGCAGCCGCAGCACAGCAGCGAGAGTGAAACAAAGCACTGTTACCATTAAAAATCCGAGGAGGAACAAAAGCAGAGTTCTGTCGGAGAGAGGGCTGCTAATTATTGTATTTGCTCATCTCTCCTCGCTCATCACTCGGACGCAGATGACGCAATTACTACTTAGGTTGTCGATCGTATTGAGAAGAGTAGCTTTGACAGAACGATCAGTGCACCTCAAAGAAAGCAAGGTTCTTCCAAGTCTCCATGAATGGTTCTTCGAGGGAACTCCGGCCCTGAAGCAAAGCATTGCGCATTGGATGCGGCTCGCGATGCCATCGACAGCGGCCGCGGATCCACACAGCGGCCGCGGGTCCTTGAGAAATCCCATCGCTCCAGGGAATGCTGCGACGCTGCTCGCTGCACACGCGACAGGTTCTCCTTTGTGACGTCAACCCCGGAGACCAAAGACGCAAAAGAAGGGAGAAAGAGTACATCTCCGCTCTCTCTCTCTCCCCTCCTTCCTCCACCTTTGTTTCTCTCATCATGGTCTCTCCCGGACGTCACCAAAGGCAACAATGCGGATGCGAGGAAAAGGCAGGCACCACCCTGCTCTTTTGGCGTGTGTGCGAGAGAGAGAGAGAGAGTCCAATATGTGGGATGGAATTGGTTGGGAGAAGCTATGGCTATGCGGCACTTTTTGACTACGTCTCGTCCTTTTTGTCATGGGGCCTGCGCTCTTGTCCCATGCAATGCGTGCATGCGTCCGCATCCGCCACCGACGATGACGACAGCGGACGGCCCCGATCACGGCGCGGCGATCGAAGAGCACGCGCGGGCGGTGGTGTGCGTGGTGGTGGAAAGGGATGCGAGTCCGGCTGGAGTAGACGAGATTAGGCGCGACCTGTCGTCCCTTTCCAACAACAGCCTGTTTTAAGTACCAGTTTGCAGCGATGAGATCTCTAAACTCCAAAGATTAATGGAGAAAGAGGAAACTCACTCTTGTTGACGCTTCCTCCTGATTCTGATTCGATGCTGGAGAGAGAGGAAAACAGTAATCCACCACCAAGAGAGAGGTCCACTCCCCCATTTCTTTTTTCGACTGGAGATGATGACACCACAATGATGATGCTGATACTGATGCTAGTAATGATCAAAAGGCAAGAGAACAGGAGCCATTGTTTATTTCCCTTTCTCTTGCCTTTCCTTTCCTTTCCTTTGGTCTTCAATCCAAAAGTATCTCAACGTTTATGATTCCACCATTCATGTTCATCTACTATTTTGGCTTCGCTGCATGTACCGTCATACAACACACGATCCTCTTCTTGAAAGGTGAAGGAACAAGAGTTTGTCACATGAGGGTAGGAAGTTCCATATACTTCGATGATTTCGTTCACTAAGTTCAGTGATCTGCTTACCATTGCAATGAAAGGGGATATTTTAACAAGGACAGCCATCTCAAAACCAATGTGGTACCTCCGAATCTCATGTACACATTTAAAAGCAACGCAATTACCTGTATCTTGAAATGACACAACAGACTCAGTAATAAGTACACCACCTGAGACTATATGAAGTGGCACCCAAAATCAAGTAAGACAGCGCCGTGTGATGTAGAATCGGAATAGTTGGCTCATGCCATCCGAAGCGAACGAAGCAAACGAATCGATCGCTTGGAATGTCGATGGTCATTAACAGTCCGCGCAACACTAACCTTCGACGAGAGGTACAAAACGCCACCCCCAAGCATATACTAGAGACATTGATCATTACTCTCAAACAACCGACTTAAGCTTCGGAGGGGTTGAGCTAGGAATCCCCCTTCCTGACATTGACATGTTGTGTAAAAACTCGAGATAACCTTAGCTGTATTTCGAGTCGACCAGGAGACACCAGCCCCGATCCTTTGTTCCCTCTCCATTCATCCCTCTGAGCGACCACGTGGATGCCCTCGCATAATTGGGATCGAACTAAACTGTGCTGATTCTTAAGTCACGGCATAAAGGACCACAATATTTTAGCGCTAAAGGAAGGGTCCGATGTCGCAAGAGCATCCACCAACGAACAACCTCAACAAATGCCCCAATGAAGAGGCACCCGCTCACTCCTCTTTTGGCCTCAGAGGGCAACCGACCATTCCCTCATAGATGGACGAAAATGACTCAGCTCATACCCCTACGTGCTATTTGCGTTTATTCAACTACCCTAGGTGCTCACCTCCTGGGACTGTCATGGGACAGATGGTAGTGCCCGTTGAGGCATTCCTTAGCCTTATCACCAAGTGCAAGCGCCATGCAGGGATGATACAAAATATTGCACCCCTCGTACCCCAATTAGCCCAGCAAGCAACTCCTCTCCCATAATCGTCGCCCGCGACCCAAACCACCTTTGTCCTTATGGTGCACAACACTAGCCCGGATGGTCGACCACCTATGGTTCCTGATGTCGATGCTTCGATCGAGGAGTAACCAGGAGACTCAAGACCAACAACAGGATGCAGTGCCCCTCCATACTAACGTATCATCCCGATTTTTCTAGAAGCGAACACTGTTGTCCAACTCGACATATGACTTACTGTAGGCTTAATGGTGGCTGGTAAATTGGCACCTAGATGAGGTCCAAAGAGATCCACAAGACCAAGGAGGATCATAAGGAAAGTGCCTCGGGAGGGTCCCCCTTCGTTCAAGAAATTCGAGAAAAGCTTATCCCACTCAACTTTCGCCTCCCGACAGTAGAGGCCTATGATAGCGGTTCTAATCCAACGAAGCTTGTCATTATCTTTCGAGCCTAGATAGCCCAGTAAGATACATTCGACGCCTTGATGTGTCGGATGTTTCCTACCACCCATTGGCTAGGCTTTTTTACTGCTTCCTCTTATTCTTTTCTCCTCCTCAACCAGCAGCCTCTATTTGTAGCATGTGGACAGTAAGAAGGGGCAGCTCCTTCTTGATTGCGTGGCGCATGTGAAGAAGAGATTTGGGCAATGATTTGAGGAGCGTCTTCACGGCCTTTGTCATGTGAATCACTGCTAGAGAGGAGGACAGTTGACCTCCTTCATCCTCTCCCACAGATCCATATGAATTCTAGAATATACGATCTCTCTATATAACATAATTTTTTTTGTATGCATAGTTTTTTGGTTTCGTGAGTTTTTACACACCAATCTTCGTACAATGACAAGAGACTATTTTTTTATGGAAATCTATGATTTTTGTTTCTGTTTTTTCACTGTGCATGTGATGTCACCCCAGATTTCGCTTCCCTACGCATATCAGTGGATGAACCTTGGCCTTCAAAATCCTCAGGTAAGGCTATTATTAGCTGATCATGTGGTGGGATGTCATAACCTACATCCAATGATGCCCACAATGCCAAATGCACGCCCAGATACAACATCAACCCGCGATCCCTTTGACTCTAATTGACAGTGTCTAGCCCTTCGCATAATGGAGAATCAATTTCCTTAGCCCTTTTCCCCTCGTATCAGGACAACGAAGATTTCTTATAGTTGGGGTTGATTATTTCATAAAATAGGTGGAAGATAAACCACTAGCATCCATCATAGAGAAATAAGTA